GGGACGGCGGGGTGAGTTTGGAATGTTTCCCTCCCTGCCACTCCGCCGCCCTGACGCTTGAATACCGATAGTCCTCCGGCAGTCCGACCGACCCGACCCGACGGCAGTCCCGCCAACTTTGCACTTCAGTCGGAGTGCGCGCTGCTGGAGGAGGTGGGGGGGGGGGTGTAAGTTGGAATTGGCATTGCCGTTGGTAGTTGCATCGAGCAAACAAACGTCTCCGCGGCCGTCGCGCCGCCGCCGCTGCCGCAGGAGTTTGTTGACATTTTGGAGCGCCTTTTGGGCGGCGCGGCGCGACCTTTTAACTGCATCATAAGATTTTATCTCTATCGCCGTTAAGCCTCGCGGCTCGCGCGGCTTGCTTTAGGGCGCCACACGACACGCAGGGTCTGTCTCTCTCTGTCTCTTCTTTGTATCGCTCTCTGTCTGTCTCTGTCTCTTCTTTGTATCTCTCTTTGTCTGTCTCTGTCTCTCTGTGTCTCTCGCACCGTGATCCACTGTGTATCGCTGTCTCATCAGTGTTTCCCGCCGGGTCTCGTTGTGTCTCGCTTCGCGGTCGGGCCGGGCCAGGCGGGTTCAATCCAATTGAGGCTATCGATACGGATTGGAGCAGCGGCAGCAGCGGCAGCAGGTAGCCTGGTGGTGAGGAGCTGTATTCACCGCGCGCCCTCGTCGAGGTGGTGGCAGCGGAGGTGGCGCCCCGGCACAGACAAGTGTAATCCCGTACTTCGTACTAGCCGGAAGAAGCAAAAAAATGCGTGTATTTTTCCTCAACTGGGAGAGCATGGCGCCTGCGAGGTGCGGGGTAGGCCACACCGGCTTACACGCGTGCATCGCGGGCAGGATGTTGCCTACCTACCAGGCGCTACGAGAGCCCTGCCCGGCATGCATCGCCTGCTTGACTTGGCAATGGGGATTTACTTGTCCCGAATGAATCACTTTAGAACGAATGTGACACATCACGATTTAACACATGTGACAGTTTTTTTTACTTTATTTATTTTTAGCAGATGATACCTTAAATAGCTTTTGACTGAACATAAAGAATATATAAGTAACTTTAAGGTGTCAGCTAGCTTGTACTCTCGATAAGGGAAGAAAACCAAAGCGCATGACGTCACCCAGATGTATAAGGGGCGCGAGAAGTCGCCGGCCCGCCCGCCCGTTCCCACCAGCAATACCAAGAAAGCAATTGCTAAAACTAACAAACAGCCATAAACAATTAACCGCAAAATATGAGAGAAAATTAGGGCAAAGACATATCCTTGAATTTGTATCATCTGCTTTCACGATACGTCCCTCGACGTAGCTTTTTTTTAAACCGGAACCTCTCGACCTTCTCCCTGGAGATCATTAGACCTTTTGGGTTGTTGTTGGTGTTTTGTGTTTTACTCGCTAACCAAAGGTGACGCCACATGTATTAGAAATAACAAATGAACGTAAATGTTGTAATCTCTGACGCGTGTGTTTGTTGATAGGCGAGCGGAGGCCCGTGCCCGTGCTGGTGTGGATCTACGGCGGCGGCTACATGAGCGGCACCTCCACGCTGGACGTGTACAACGCCGACATGGTGGCCGCGACGAGCGACGTGATCGTGGCCTCGATGCAGTACCGGGTGGGCGCCTTCGGCTTCCTCTTCCTGCCGCCGGGCGCGCGGCCCGACCCGGAGGACGCCGCGGGCAACATGGGGCTGTGGGACCAGGCGCTCGCCATCCGCTGGATCAAGGACAACATCGCGGCCTTCGGCGGCGACCCGGACCTCATCTCGCTCTTCGGCGAGAGCGCGGGCGCGGGGTCGGTAAGTGATTGTTCCCCAAAACAAACTACCCCCCATAGAAAACCATTTTGTTTTCACGATTTTTTCACAAAGTCCGAAAGCAATGAGTTTGAAAAATACAAGACTGCAGAAATATCCTCGCAAATTTACAACATTTGTTGTATTTTTGTAACAAAAATATGTCTGTAAAAGCAGCGATAGTCAGAAACGAAAAATTTTCCTGCATAAACTAACGAATATTTTTTATAGTGAACGCTGTAATTATTGAAGAAGTGTCCTCTGAATTTAAAAACAAAGATCACTGAAAAAATTATCCGTCTTTCCTAGCCCTACTTCGACCAGCGATGACGACGTCGCCGCCCCCCCTAACGGGCTCCTTAAGTAAATAAAGCAGTGGGTCGAAAAGCGGGCCGCATTTTTCACAACACAACGACGTCGCCGCGGCGTGAAAGTTGGCCCCGCGGTGTGCCGCTCGTTCCGTCGAGATTTACGCGGTGGGACCACGCCATGCCTCGCCGCGCTGCACACGGGGCCGGCCGCGCCGCGCCGCGCCGTGGTAGCAGGCGTGAAATTAATTTGCCGGATAAGAAAAAGAAAAGGAAACAAGTTGCAGTGCGCGCTCTGCTGCTTGGCGCCGCCGCCGCGCACGATTTAAACTCCCCCGGAAGCAGGCAGCAGGGTGGAGAGGAAACAAAAACACGTTCACGCACGCGCCGCGCCCGCCTCGGCGACGACGCGATATTCATCTTTATTTCACAGCCTCACGCCGTCCCGTTCTCCCGTTTCTTTTTCTTCCCCTCCGCGCTGCTCCGGGTCGCCCCCGCCCCCCGCCTCTCTCTCCCCTTCGCAGTGCAAAGGATCCCC